TGCTGCTTTATTAGCTGCCACCTACTGCACATCATCAGCCTCCAGCAGAAAGCCACACACTGATCACTTTCCAGGCTTACACGACAAAGTTCAAACACCATTAATAAATCAATTTGAAAAATCAGACTTCTCTGCCGAGAAAGGAAATTCTTACATTCCTCAACATTAAGCTTCACTGGGAACAGAAAACAGGAGCAAAGCATTTCCCTTTTCTAAGGAGGGGTAGTTTAACTATTTAAAAGGTAATTGGGAGCAGGAGAGGAAAATTTACACATCCTGCTCTTCTTTCACGGGTTTAAGTAGGACAATTGTTATCTGGTTATCAAAACCAGAGCAGCACTTCCCTCGTGCAATGCTCCTGCCAGATCAGGACTTCAAGGCCAGAGCACTTGGTGGCACACACAGACTGCACAGAGAGGGATGCTGCCAGCCCCACTCAGACCCACAAATGCAAGAGGTTTCAGCTGCAGCACTTCTGTAGCATACCAACCATGTGGATCAGGGAGGAGTTACGAGCACAAGCAGACGTATGCTGGGTCTCCAGGTCTGGTGCCTCCTTCTGCCGGTGCCATTAATGTCTGGCTGTGCGAGGAGCACCAAGTGTGAGAAACCTAACTGAGCCACTTGGTGTTCCCAACCAGGAAACGGCATCTCCAGCATTGCTGGCCTCTCCTGGCCAGGCCAGCTATCCTGCCAGCACTGCTACCTCTCCTGGTCACCAGGCATGCTTGGAGATGCAGCACTAGGGACCAACACTGTTCTGCTCACCCATGTGCCTTTATGGTCAGTCCAGAGGCCAAGTGACCCACTCGTGGCTCTGCCTCCTGAATGGCAGCAGGCACTGTAAGCCCCATGAAGACCTGCAGCTCGGGCATACCTCTGCCTCAGGAGGCTCCTGCCCTCTCCCTTGTGGTTCTCAACTAGAACAGCCACAGAGATATACCACAGGCATCCCAGGAAGGCACCCAGAGGAGTTCTGCCCTTTTGAACCTGAACACCAAGCGCCCAGCCATGCTAGCACATGATATGAACGCAAGCGGATTGCAGCAAGATCTTCCCTCTCCCTGGTAAGCCATTAACCTTTCAGATGACAGCCTTGCAAACTAAATGACTGAACGATTCCCAGGGTCAGCACGAATCTACATTTTCAAAACCTGACATCAACAAGTAAAAGTTGTGACTGAATCCCAGTCTCCCCGCGAGGAAGATTAAACGCCTGTGACACATTATCTGCAATCAGAGTGCTCCATTTCCCAAAGTATCCGTCACAGATTGATAACATCCACGCAAAAAGTTAAGTGCAATTATGTCTGTCACTGTAAAACACACTTTAGCAGCACTGACTGACATCTTGCTTGCAGCTGACAAGTTGTGAGAGGGCTGTTTCAGCAACGGTGGTGGAGACTCCTGCAGCACCTTGGGAAGGGATGTGAAAGGCACTCCTGAACCACATAAGCTACGGGGGCTTATAGAGCACTGCGGCTGTGATGGAGCCATCCCACAGGCAGCCACAAGGCAAAGTGGTTCAAGGTTGGCTCTGTGTGCATTCACGGAAGTGGGGGACTTGCTCCCAAAAGGCTGGAACTGGACTAATGAAGAGAACATCACACACAAATCCTACTTCAAGAGAGCTTGAGGCAAGGACGGCTGAGCCCCAAGACACTGCTCAGATGCTTGTAACATACACTACTCTCCAAGTCCCAGGTCATTCAATGGTGATGGCCAATCTACAGGCTGTGTGAAGCAAAAGCAAAAGGCCAGGTGAGTTACCCATAACAAGCACCTCTTTTGGGGGGGGCATTACCTTCCTGTTCCCCAAAGGGATGTCACCAGGCAGCACCAGTGAGTGCAAGCCTCGAACACAGAGCAGAGATTCTGAGGAAAGTTACATTAAACTCCCACTGGTGACTCAAGTCAACAAAAGCAGTTCTTTAGTAGCAGCCTTCTAGGATGGGAAACTGCAAGTGCATTTCTCCAGGCTGCCATTACTGCCAAGAAGCTGTCGCAGAATTTGGAGAGAAAAGACAGTAAAGCAGCTTGATGCCTTGCACAATGGCACGGTTGCGCTCCACAGCACAGCATGCCATCCTCACTGGAATGCGTGAGGGCTGCCGTTAGAGACCATTAAGCCAGATGCCTGCAGTAGGAAACACCAAGGAGAAGAAATGGCTGAAAAATAACATATGCAGTCCAGCACGGATATCAGACAAAGCCTCCCCTTGTGCAGTTCTGACTGTGAGCCATAACCCTGCGGCACAAGCGGTGGAAGCAGCACTGCCGACGTGCAGCAAGCTGTGGAGGTCAAACCTCTGACACATGACAAAACTCTGATGTGCTGCCATCCACCACCATCAGTAACTTACATCATGGATCAGAGAAGGAAACACGGCTGGAGTAGAAATAAACATCTCCCACAGTAAAAAGTCCTTCCATTTAGGAAGGTTTTGCTGTGCAGAAGCTCACTGGTGTGTTTTACTGGTTTGGTTTATATCCCATGCTAGCAATTGTTCTGAAGCACCCAGGCATGCCCTCTTGATTTAGAATTATTTTATAATGCTAGACAGCAACTGAATAGCTTAAATATTTGACCAGCTTATTCAGCACTGCTCATGGATTTCCTCTTAACACTCACAGCAGTATCAGAGTATCTCCCTGCTGTTCCTGTCAGGATATATCCACATGGAATAAAACAACAAACTGTCTACCAGTGTAATCTCATCTCTCTACGGTGACGTAAAAATAAGAGGTTACTTGTGACTACAATCTTCCACCAACATTAAGTGTTGAGTAACTTACCACATTGCTGATAAAGTATTAGGAAAGGCTTCCAAGTCGTATGTGTTCCCCATAATAATGAAATATTTGCAGAATGTACTTTTATATACATTTCTATTTCTTAAAAAATATATTGGATAATAAATAATCAAGAGTGAAAAAAAAAAAAGACATGAAAGATGCTTTGAATGATCAGGCTGGTGGTGTAAAAGTTACCTGTAAATCATGCATGGGGCATGAGAGTGGAGCTGGCTACAGACAGGTGGTTTTTACTAGGAGGCATTAATGTAACATTCAATTATTCCACTGCATACTGGCTGGTTTAACTCAGCCAAATTAGAATACATTTTATATTGACTATTTTGACATTTGCTTTATTTGGCAAGTAAAACAAAACTGATCCAATTTCCTTGCAGCCATTGTAAACCATAAACTGTACAACAAGAGGTTATAAAATATATATGCCTTGTAAACACTTCTTTTCAGGCTGTCGCTGATGCACTGAGCTCTAATTTTGGCCCTGTTCCCAATAGCTCTGACACTGCTCAACAGCCTTCCCTGCTCAGCCATAAAGTGACCCTTCCACACTTAGTGATTAAGGACTGCCATTGACATTCTCTTGCTATGATAATTTTTTCTCTTTATTGTGGAAATCTGCCCAGGCAGGAATTTCTTGCAGACAGAAAATGAAGATCTGTGCTCTAAAATCAAGACATCTTTTTCTCTGATCTCACATGGCCTGTGCCAGCATGTAGCTTTATGTCCAGTGGAGCTTCAAAACAATGTTATCAGCTCCCAGTGGGACAGGCTGAAATCTCCAAAAGACTGCTGGCTTTTCATCTCTCTTGCTTCTATCTCCAAGAGACAAGACAGCATCCCTGCCTGCAGCACACCTGACAGTACAGGACAGCTAGCAGCATGCCACAGCATGGCAGCGACTGAGCAAAGCTCTCAGTGAAAGAAATGCCCAAATGCTTTGGAGAGCTTGAAGAGCCACCACAAAAAAGCAGGTTAAGTCTGGTCATGGGTGAAGGCTCAAATGTAACAGACTTGCCTTACAAAGATACCCAACAGCTTTGTTGGGAACCGATTAGAGCAGTTTAAGTGTCACTCTCTGAAATGACCTGTAAATCAAGACTCTGAAGGACACAGTATTTTCTACCTGTGCCATACAGTGACCTTTACATACAAACCGATCCCCTGGGATTCCCCTCTGCAGCCTCCTTTGAAATTCTAGCTCTTAACAGTTATTGTAACGCTGTAAATGTATCTGAGTATACCAAATGCTTAGTGCAAAAATACTTGTTCACTTAATTAAGCAAAAGCCCAAAGGGACCATAGAGAATGCACTATCCCCTGGCAATAGCCCAGCCCACAGTTCAGTGAGTAAGCCTCATCAGGAAGAGCCCATCTCACTCTAGATGCTGTGCTTTCATAGCAAATGCCAGGAGCATAAAGCACTCAGTTTAACCTCTGTCTGGGTTGGTTTGTTGCTTAACACCACTCTGTTTTGTCCAGAGAAATTCAGCAAGTAAGCTGTCAGTACAGGACTACTGTTATATGCAAGTATACACACAAATGCGTACTTTTATACACGCACATACAGACATTGTCTATAACACAGGAAAAACAACCTGGACAGACACTATGCCAGTGTCTGGCCAGAAGCGTGGCTCCTGTCAGATGAGCAGCATGCTCTGCATGCTCTGTGGCAGCTGCAAGACTGCAGCACAGTAGCTGGGTCCAAGAAAAGACAAAACAGGGCCAGTACTTCAAACCATGAGCGCATCGATTCTGGAGCATAAGCAGAACTTACCTCCCTATACATTAAAATCTGTATCAACACTTCTCCCTCCCTTTGGTCAAGGAGAGAAATCAGCTTGGCTACAGTTCTGGGCTACCCTCCGTGGGTGACCCACACACACTTGTTGGAAACTATAATATTCCACACAGTTTAAAGCAAAGAAAAGGTGTAGCTGGCCGTTTCCTTTCTTCTGCAGGCTTTTTGTTTCTTCTCGACTTCTTCACCTGTATGTCTTTATACAGTGACAGCCAAAGGAACTTCCATCAGGCAAATACTTGAAAGAATGACACATTCCTTCATTATCAGATCACACCATAAAACCATTCATACTGATGTGGAACCATGTTCTTGATTCCACCGGACCAGGTTAGTAACAAAACAGCATGCAGCATCAAGCAGAAGGGACTAGAAAGCAGAAAACTTACCTTGGCAGGTTAGGAGCGGGTGTTGAAGATGGTGCTTGGGAAGGAGGAGTCTCAGGCTGCGAAGGCTCATGGTTGCGTGGAACTCTGCCCATCCGGTACCAAATGCCCATGTTGTTCAACTCCCTGTGCAATCAACACAGAAGACATTAATGACACAAGCAAATGATGTACATGTGCATAAACATGAAGCACTGATGTGTTCCACAAACACCTTGGTTAGTGAGAACGAGCCTAACTGGAAAAGAGAAAAAGGGGAGTGGGGTGGGGTTAGTTAAGTCCTACATCAAATCTAGTAACACTTGTACTTATGTAAACTAATGACAAGCTTTAGCTCTTACAAACTACTACTTAGAAATTACAGGAAAACAAGGTGCTTAGCCGTGGTACACTTGAATTTAGGACAACAGCTCCTGGAGTAAGGGGTACTCACCCTATGAAGGTGTACTGAGGAGGGGCTTGTTTAGATCTACCCAGGATTCGGATATCACAGATCGCTGCCTCTGTAGAATCTCGAGGGATGAATTTAATGCACAGCCTCTTCTTCCTGAATGCTATTTCTTCTGCAAAAACAACCCAGGACATGGGGTGGTTTGTATGCAAGATTAGGGTATAAATGTTATTTATTGTTTCTCCAGATATTAGGGAGATAATTATGGCAGGAGCTGGAGCCAAAGAACAGACATATGTCAGCAAACCAGACAGTGCAATGCCATTCGATGACTAGAGAAATTTTCTATCAGGAGCCCTCTGTACACTGTGTGAGATTTGTTATTAGGCACTGTGATAAACCAGTACTCCCTACTACCCTCTGCAGAGAAGATAAGACATCACATATGCCATGGAGTATGGCAGCACAGAACAGAAATGGCAGGTGATCTTTCCACTTCCACATACTTCTCACATCCGCTTTCTCTTTCCATAGTAATGTTTGCATTACTGGCCTGCACAGTCGTGTCTAAATATTCCTCCCGCAAGCATTGCCTCTAGGAACATACCTGGAAGCTCGTGACACAATCGGTCAGTTTATTCTGCCAAGTGCTTTCAAACAGACAACCAAAGAGGAGCAGCAAGCAGGAAAACAGACTGCCACGCAGAGCGGACAGCAGTAAAAGCTGTCTGCCCAAGTCTCACACATCCTATGTGTCAGTGACCTCTCCTGACTCAGTCAGAAGCACTGAAATGATACTCCCACCATGTTTGCCTTGGAATCTTCATAGGGATAAACCAGATTTACAAAGCAGTAATTGCTAGGACCTCCTACAGAGCAACTGTGCTGCACTGACCAGCGTTCAGAAAGTGGATGAATCTGCTTCATGGCCCTTTCCTGCCAAGCGTCACAGAGCAATTTCACTTGTTTCCATGTTATCCATCAAGAAAAACTCAAGCCACCAGAGTTAAGGCTTATCTGTATAATGAATTCATGTATATGCATGCTGTCTGTCTGCACACAGATACAATCCGTATCCAGCTATGGGTCAGTCGCATGACAACGGGTGGCACTGGCACACAGACAGATCTGTGGTCCCTGGAAACCACTGCTCTATCTCAGCCTCGAGTCTCGATGTGAGCAAGGTGAGGTTTCTATTTGTGAATGCAGGCACTTAAAAGACATGACAGAAGTCTACTGATAAACTGAAAATCTAAAGCGCACACACTGAATGAAAATCTGGAAACAACCAACAACTACAAACAAGTGCCTGCAAAATAAAAACCCTTCAGCTTAATATGAATAAATATCCCCCAGCTCAAAAATATGCTCTCACTTCAACAGATGGCAGGCAGCCCTGTCTCTGTAGGCTCCTCCTGTCTTGTAATCCACACCTTGGAGAAAGCAATCCATCCCAGCCTCTGAAATCTGCTGTCACACCAGCACCAACAAATGTACAGCCAGTGTGAGGTGTGTCACCATACAGCATCTGTGCATGCAGCTTTTCACTTCCAGTGCTGCTTTTTAGAGATGCTAAATACCTGTATCCCTGAAGTCTAGTCTCTCCTGCTCTGAAAAACCCTAGCTTTAATCTGAAGTGCCTAAAACTGATCTTAGGAGCCCAGGGATTAAGGCTTCCACACCTGAAAATTTTCTCAGAACCTAGTAAGGAGTACTGTGTTTAATATATTTACAAGTCACCTGTCACTTAGAGTAAGAGCACAGAAACATGTAACTGAACAAAATCAGTGTCTCTCGTCTGACTTTCACAGAAGTACAAAGCTGACTGCTTTTGTCTTTGGTCTCTTTCACACTTGGCTAGAGTCTGCAGTCTGTAGCAAACTTGGTTTAGGAGCTGGATTCATTAATTACACATGCTTAACCAGAGTTAATTTTAAGTAAACATATTATAAACAGTCAATTGAAATGTGTTCATTCATGCTAACGGAGGCAGGGATATGCACTGCTTCATTAATACAGACAGGGCCTCTGCTTTGAAGATGGTCTGGGTTGCAATCCAATGCATTTTAAATTAATTACAAAGCCCACTTCCACCCTTTCACCAGGACTTTCACAGAAGTTACAGCAGCGCATGGTAAGTGTCCAGCACTCCCAAGAGAGAGCAGGATAAACCAGTGACTCTTCCCCCATCCTACATGTGCCCAGGAATCCTCCAGGGAAAGGGGATGAGCCAGGAGAACAGGGAATGGGCTGCAGAGCCTTTCACTTCTAGGTCATGGGTTCAAATCAGAACCAGGTCGGTAGTGACTAAAAAAATCACCCTCATCTGCTACAGACCCAGATGAATGAATCCCTGCAAAGCAAGAACTCCTTTCTACTCGTAACTAGGCTGGATTTCATTACTGACAAGCACTGGTACCAGCACTGCTCTTGAGCAGTAGTTGTACACTCAGCACCTGCACATGGTGTCCCGCAGCCCTTCCACACTTGGCTCCTGTGGGGCTCATCCCCATTCTCCACACTGCAGGCCCAAAGCACCTGATGCTGCAGCAGAGCAGAGTGCTGCGACCTTTTCCCCTGCCGCTGCCACAAGTCCCAGGGGATCTGAATACACTGTTTGGGAACTGCTGGCTTAAATGTTGCAGCAAAGCGATTTCTGCTTCGCAGAAATGAGGATGGTATTTTCCCTGGACATTCCACTTGAGCCTTCTCTCAGCAAGTGCAAACATACCCCACCATCCTCAGCACTGCCTACCAGGACACCAGTCTTCAGTATAAAGCTAATGTGCATGAACCCTGCACCACAAGCACATGTCCTTCCTTTTGGTATGTGTTTGTGAACACCCCTCAGGACAGCAGCTCTGCTCCCACTAGGCCTAGCCCTCCCTCACAGAGTGAGAACATGAACTACTCCTGCCTGCTCTAGCAGGCACACTGGTGACAGTCAGGCAGCAGTGTTAAGAAACCTGGAAAGAATACAGGAAAATGGAAGCCTGTTCCATTGCAGTCCAGAGCTGCCCCAAACGTGCACATGTAACCCCAGAGCACAGCAATGCCGAGAGCATCCCTCCACCTGGGACACTGCTACCCACAGAGGCAGTGGTGGAATGGCTGCTCCCAAAGCATGGGCCTGAAAAACAGATGCCAACTTACGTGTATCAGAGGTCTCCTGGATGGGAATGAAGCCCACGGGTAAAGTGTCCTTGATATCAATGAGCTTCATATCAACCAAGACGTTGCCTAAATGACTCTTTGGAGAGAGAAAAAACAACAGTTGACTATGACAGTGTCACCAAATTCAAACTCA